CAGTGGTCCCAGTGGCCCAACCTGGGACCTGTTGGGAAAGCCTAAACGAATATACAAGATCAGACTTAGGCAGGCTACTGAATTCAGGCTGCTCAACCACAGCTCCTAATAAATTCATGAACTCAGGCTGCTGAACTGTAACTCCAACAAAAAGCTGGCACACAGTCCAGCTTTGAAACTCATGTTTCTACTGGCCTGCTAACATGCAGGATGGCTAAGGTCAAGAAAATCAGTCAGCCTGTTGCTGTGATACTTTTTGATGGAGAGCTTTAATTTCAGATATTATGTCATGTTTTTCCATTGTCCAGAATTTGGGCCTCAACTACCCAATTTGTGAAACTTTTGGACTGTTCATATACTTTATGGGTGCGTCTTTCTGCTACGTATTCTCCACATATGTGTCAGATCTGATCACTACTAAATGTTGAAAACTCTAATTGATCTATATGGTTCAGAGTAATATTCAAACCAGGGATTTCTCCTGATTTATTCCAATTCAATGCCATGTTGAGAATTTATCTTTCCACTCCAGATAAGCTGAATCAGAGTCTACATTTTAATAAAATCTGTAAGAATCATCAGGGTAATTTGTTACACTGAAGAATCCAATTCAGTGTATCTGGGATGGAAAGGCAAGTTCTTCAGCAGGAGGTCAAACCGAATGAACTGGTTTGAAGTTCTTGTTCAAACACCTCAAGCATAGGAAACCTTAAATGACTTCCAACAACCTTCTCAAGCTAATCACCCTCAACTGACTTCCAACAACCTTCTCAAGCTAATTGCCCTCATTTTCCATCCTTATGACACATTTCACCACCGCAGTTATCATCATTCACACCACCCCAATTGATAACGCATATCATCATGGTTAGCATTTCCATAGAAGTAACATGACAACACTGATCTTTCATGACTAAAATTCCCAGCATTTGTAAATGAGGGGTGGACTTCCAATGTCACACTTTCAAGGAGCAGTGATTTTGTTACATCAAATTGGATGGCAACGCATTGCGATCATTATGCACTGATGCTACTGCTGTGCTAAAGCACCCGTACACACCACAGCGGTTCCAACTCCCAGAAAGCAAGTCAGAGGAACGAAAATGAAAGGCGTATGCACGCACAGTTTATTCATCAAAAGTAAAAAGTGAAAATGCTGTTAATTGACCAAGCGGCTCATTTTATGACCCAAGAAGTAAAGCCTTTTACAACAACGAGTGAATTGCATCATGTTAGATTACAACAGGCAAAGAAATGCGTCCGGGGGGCATAAACTTGTTTACCATCAGCTCTTTTGATGAGACCTGATCCTTGAAGAATTCATGATATTGAGAGTAACATCACAGCCACGTAAGACTCACACAGGCGCGTGGACAACCTCCTCACCTTCCTGCCCTAGGTCTTCCGGGGGTACCCGCCCCGCGGGAACCCTCCCAACTCCCTCGCTTCCGTTTTCCAGGCCGGCTCTGGGCCGCGGACCTCCAGCCCCCACGTTCCAGTGGTGGCGCCGCGCCATCTCTACGACCCTTCCCCTAGGCCACCCTTTGGTCCAGCCAGTCCTCCCGCCTCAGTCTCCCCTCCCAACGCATCCGGGAAGGGCACATAACCCGGCATCTCTGGGACACCCTGGGAGAAGTGGGCGTTACGCCCGGAAGTGACGCAACTCGACGTGCGCACGTACGGAACTCTGCTTCCGACTGGTGCAAAGATTCATCCAGAAGTTGAAGTTTCTTGTAATTTCCACCTGCTGGAAGAACTTGCAAAAGGACAAAAAGGAGTAGGCGATGGCGCGGTTAGCTGGAGCCTTTAAGAGAAGATACCAACACTTCGGGGGTGGACAGGCATGGTTATTGTGCCACCAAGGATAAGTTATAAAAGCATTATTGTACAGCCTGCGGGTAGAATGTGGACCAACATACCCAGAAGCCCCTTCATCAATTACATTTTCAACAAACATGATTATATATGAAATACGGAAGTCCAATGGAATTGTGGGTGTACCGCAAAAACCCAAAATGCAGTGGCAAAATTCTCCTGCCATTAAAGTTACACTGAGACATCTAACGCTATCTAAAGAAAATATGATGCTTCTATAGCCACCAGAGGACAAACGCGATTATTTTAATACATCTCAATTTTAAATCAACAACCTTCTAATGAAGATAATGTCTTGATTAAGTAAAAGTTCATACGGACGTGGAAATTTAAAATATATGTGCTTAATACACTACACACATTGTTAATTCAAGTAATAGGAAAGTTGCAGCACAATGTTTTGTTTTCGTCAGTTTGCTGTCTAACTAAAAAAGTAATTTCAAAAAGGAAAAACCATGAAGTTGGGAAGCTCTGCTTATCTTGCTTAATGGAAGAGCTGCCGTTGAAATCATCTAAAGTAGCACATTTTTTAAGCAGTAGGAATGCTAACTCCTTAAAAAAAACCAACCAAACTCAGAGGCATGCATTTATTACAACTCATAGCAACCTTATAAGACAGAGTAGAACTGTCCCTGTGGGTTTGTGAGACTGTTTGGGCTTAAGTAGTATACTATTGAAGCAGATGGATGCAATTATGAGTAGTATAAAAATGTGCTCAGGATTAATATATTTGTGTGTGTGGTAAAATATGTATTGCATACGTTTTTTGTTTCATTTTAAAATTCTATACTTTTTGGCTCCCACTTAATTCTAACCTCAATTTGAGAACAACTATTTCTTATGACATCGTCCTTTTCCATGTTTTCCCTCAGGAAGAGATCACTGAAGATATGAGTACTATAGCAAAGGGTGGTGAAGAAACCAGATGGTGCCCTGCTGTCAGAAAGAAGAGCATCTGGGACTTAAACGTTTGTTTTCAAACAAGCAACCATCTAAGTAAGGCATCAACTAAGTTCACACGGAAGAAGCACACCAGCCTGTGTGATCCAAGGATTGTCAATAATAAAATCCAAATCAGAAGGAGGGAATGATTTCAGAGTTTAAATTATGAATACCGAGTTTGCAAAAGGCTATAGATGATAATGGACATTCCAAATCCATTTATGGGGTTCCAACATGCGTGATGACTCTGGTGAATCCCCTCTGACCATAGTCCAGGGGTTTGAATAGCCTTGCTATCAGGCAGAGCACATTGTAAAGTGGATTACTGCAGATGTAGTTAGGTTAAAATGAAACACCTATTATCTGATCTTCCTTTTGACCCAATATAAAGCTGTTTTTAATTTTTTTAACTTTCTTTTAGTTTGGGGCTTTTCTCTGCTTTGTTGTTGTTTGTTGCTCCTTGTTTGTGTTTTGTATGACTCTCTGTATATGAAATCCAAAATAGATCAATCTATATAGACAGTAACTGGATTAATAACTACCTAGTGACATGGCAAGGGAGGTCAGGGGTTAATGGGGAACTAACAAAATGAGTACAAGAAAAAAATGTTTTGAAATTGACTGTGGTGGTGACTGTACAAATCTCCTCAATATGATTGAACTATTAAACTGTATGATATCCAAATCATATGCCAATAGAATAATGAGATATTTTGCTTCTTCAACCAGTTTTAAATGTATAATTCAGTAGCACTAATACATTCATTATGCAATTATTACCATTATATAGTTAAAACAGGAACAAAAATTATCCCCCAATATAAACCCAGTAAGCTCTTAAGAAATAACTCCTCCAGACTCTGGTAATCATTGATAAGCCTTTGTCTTAGAATTTTCTGTTCTATATATTTCATATAAGTGAAATAATATAGTATTGAAATATTTGTGAGTGTATAAGTATTGTATCACTTAGCATGATGTTCTGAAGGACCATCCACATTATAGCAGGTATAAGAACTTATTTCTTGTTGTGGCTGAATAGCACTCCATTGTTTGTGTGTGCCACATTTTGTCTACTTATTCATCTCTTGATGGGCACTTGGGTTGTTTCTACCATTTGAATATTGTAAATAGTGCTGCAATGAATACTGGTATATAATATCTATTTGAGCCTCTCCTTTCAATCCTTTGGGACATATACCTAGCAGTGTAATTGCTGGTCAGATGGTAATTTTATGCTTACTTTTTTGAGAACCCATCAAACTATTTTCTACAGCTACTGCACCAATCCTGTCAGCCATCGATGAAGATGTGAATTTCTCAACATCTTCTTTTATATGCATTGTTTCTGTTTTTCTGATAATAACTATCCATCAAAAACTCCAAACTCACTGTTATTAAGTCAATTCTGGCACATAACGACCCTCTAGGACTGAATAGTACTATAGGCTTCTGATTGTAACTATTTATGTAGAAAGCCTCATCTTTCTCCAGCAGAAGAACTGGTGGTTTTGAATAACTGACCGTGTAGTTAGAAGCCCAACTCATAACCCACTATTCCACCAGGGGTGCTGTAACCATCCTAGAGGGTGTGAAGCGATTTTTCATTGTGGTTTGATTTGCATTTCCCTAATAACTAGTGGAAAGGTCCCTAGGTGGCGCAAATAACATATTTATCAACCAACCTAACTATCAACAAGCTTAGGAACCAATACTGCTTTAAGGACTTGGGAAATGAACAGCAAGATTATTAGGAGAAGGGATTGCTAGTTTTCCTATTTGCTGAATGAAGTCAGTCTAGTGTAAGATAAAGTCTCCGGATGACTTTTGATGATTTTCACTGTTTTTGTGAAATATGTAAAACAGCTTATAGCACGAACTTGGGAACACACAAAGGGACAAACAGAAGCAGAAGCAAGGAAGAACAATCCCTAAAGTGGCTTGTTCCCAGGAGTGTCAGAATGCCATTGAAACAAATAAGTCAAAGAATCAAAATATTCAATGCAAAAAGTTTGGCGGATGGAAGTGACAGAACTAAATTAACTGCTGTTTTCTGAGTTTCTCAAATATCTCTTTATCAGATAAACGTCCTCCCAATGGAGATCTAAGAAGTGGCAGAGAGGAATCCCAAGTATGAAATTGAAGGTTCTCCATTTAACATCCTTTAGTCTGACCTCTTTATGTTACAGAATGCAGTTTCTGAGACTTATAGCCTTGCGGAAGGTCCGACTGAGAGCATTCTTGACCTCATTGTTCCTCAAGCTGTAGATGATGGGGTTCAGCATGGGTGTCAAGATAGTGTAGGATAATGAGAGCAGCTTTTTGCTCTCAGGAGAATTATTAGACTTAGGTCTAAAGTAAGTGAGGCTCGAAGATACATAGAAAAGGGAGACAACAAGAAGATGGGAGGAGCAGGTAGAGAAGGCTTTTCGCTTCCCTTTAGCGGAGGGGATCTTGAGGATGGCAGTCGTAATGCGCGTGTAGGAGCAGAGGATCAGCATGCAGGGTGTCATGACAACCAGAATGGTTCCGACGATAGCATAGATCTCAAACTTTGCTGTGTCAGCACAGACCAGCTTCAGCACCGGTGGACTGTCACAGAAGAAGTGGTTCACCTTGGTGTCACAGAATGGAAAACTGAAGAGCCACGTGGTCTGCACAGTAGCTACTGGGAAGCCAGGAAACCAGGAGGCAGCAGCCAGTTTGGCACAGGTTATTTGGTTCATGATGATTGGGTAGTGGAGGGGGTTGCAGATAGCTACATAGCGGTCATATGCCATGGTGGCCAGGAGGAAGCATTCAGCCACTCCGAAGAAGAAGAAGAAGTACATCTGAATAGCACAGCCAAGGAAGGAGATGGTTGTGTCCTGGGCAAGCAAAGTCCCAAGCATTTTGGGTACAATGACTAGGTTGAAGCAAATCTCCAAGAAGGACAAGTTTCTCAGGAAGAAGTACATGGGGGTTTGCAACATAGAATCAGCCAAGGTAACCAAAATGATGAGGCTGTTTCCCATCAGCGTAACAAGGTAAATGATCAGGAACGTCATGAAGAGTAATGACTGTATTTCAGTAGGTAGCGAAGAGAAGCTCATGAGGATAAACTCACTTGCCTTTGTCCTATTTCCTTGAGCCATCGGTGTAGGACTAAGGACTCAGTTTTGTACATAGAGCGTTATTTTGATCAGAAGAGTCAGATTCTGGCTTTGTTCAGATTTTGTCTCAGTATTTCTAGAGAAAGAGGTAAGTAAGTTCAGGGTCTAAATTGGAAGAGGGCGGGCTTTATGATTTTTAAAGAGTACAGACAAAAGAAGAATGACCAGAATATAGATTGACCTAGATCAACTTCTGGAGTTTATTTTCCCCTCTTTGAACATTAACATGTATAGAAAGGAAAAGTCAGAACCATGAGCTGTTCAATCCCTGAAAGAGCCCCCAAAGCACACATAATTCCCCCAAATAGCTAACATTTAATAAACAGCCTCTCTCACTGGCATTGAATCAATTCCAACTCATGGCAACCCTATAGGACAGGGTAGAGCTGCCCTTGTGAGTTTGTGAGACGAATTCTTTATGTGAATAGAAAGCACCATCCATTTCCATTGGAGCAGCTGAAGGTTTCAAACTGCCAACTTTACTATCTTAGCCCAATGAGTAATCACTGTACCACCAGGGCTCCTTAAACACAGCCTAGTGGTCATTAATTATTAAACAACACATGTGAATTCATAAAACTTAAGTATTTATGATTAAAATGCTGAAGAGTGCATCTATTGATTCTTCTAGTCTTTGTGAACCTTTCATGCCTGACTAGACATTAGGATGGCGAATAGGCTAACATGCATCTAAGGCTATGTATATATCAGATATTACACATCTATCAAGGCATAATTTTATCTGTATATATACTCATAGATATTAGACTGGGCTCAGGGAAATGAAGAAACTTGGTCAAAGATACACAGCAATTAAATGAAAAATCTGGAATCAAAGTTACATCTATCATCTATCAGAATCCAAAAGTAAACTTTACCTGAACTATCCTTTCTTCAACTAAGGGTTAATTCTATAATACATGGAGAACAGAAATGTCTACAAAATCACAATGTAGAAGAAATGTGGACCAATGCACCAATGACATTTACATCAAAATGTTCAAGAGCTTTCCTGAGCTCAGGTGGATCTCTATTTATAAAAATGTTTTTAGTTGTAAATGGATCATTGAGGGTTTCTCTGTTCTTTTTATCTTGGCAATCTTGAACTTGGGAGTTTTCACAGAGAATTGGTGAAATCAAGCTAGATACGGGGTTGACTGAGAGATTGGTATAAATGAAAAAAAGAATGAATGTGATTAAGGAACTATTTACATCTTAAAAACATAAACTCAAAAAAGTAAAATCATATATAGGAGCAGCCTTCCCCCCACCTCCACCGCATCCCTGAGGTAACACCTAATAAATGAAAATCAAAGATGTGGTTAGTCTTTCCTACATATACAAAATTCAAATGGTCTCCAATGCTGTGTGAAGGAGTTTGAAGTTTACTGAATAGATAAAGAAGAACTACTCAAAATTTTGATCAGGAGAGTCATATTGTCAGTTATGCCATATAGCATGATTACTTTGATGTCTAAGAGTGAGGGGGTGATGGGAGAGTAAGAGACAGATCAAGATTATTATGCTTAGATTTAAGAACAGTTGTGAGGCTACATCTGTTTTTTAAGAAACATGACCTTTAAGAAACATGACCCTCTTTCTACTTTGTTACAATATTTGCTAAAGCAAATTTAATTATGTCCATGCATGCCTATTTCCTGCCACATGCTCAACTTTAGTAGTGGGGTTAAGTGAGAGGAATCTTGAGGCAATGGAGTGGTCCTAGATGAAAAAGAAAACAAAGGCATACCCATTATCCGTCACTATTATTTAGTCTAAGCTACTATATTATCCACTTTGTGGCCAAATTAATTCTTACCTTTCTATATCTTTTCCATGGCTACAATTCCAAAACAATTTGAAAGGGTCTTGTATTTTTTTCAGTTGCCATGAAATTTATTCTGACACTTGACCTGCTTGTGTGCAGTATAGAACTGCACACAATAAATTTATCATCAATAAAGCACATGCAAACCTTTTGGAAATGAATCACTTGATCCTCTGGACAGATTAGAATTTCAATCTTTCATCTAGTAGTGAAGCACTTAACTGTTCATACCTCTCAGTGACAAAACTCTTCTACTGTCCCTCATTTTGTTTTGAAGTGTTGCTAAGTAGGAAAGGAGGGTTCGGAGTATAGATGAGCATAATACTTATACCCATGTGCAATAGCTTTGATTTCAACTCCTAGTTATTGTTAGGTGCCATCAAGTTGTTTCTGACTCTTGGCAACCCTTTACACAGCAGAACGAAACACTGCCAATCCTGTGCCATCCTTTCAAATGCTCTCATGTTTGACCCCATTGGTGTAGTGTCTATTCTTCTCGCTGAAGACCTTCCTCTTTACTACTGCCCCTCTACCAAGCATGCTATTCTTCTCCAGGGGCTGGTCTATCCTGACAACATGTCCAACGTACATGAGATGAAGTCTTGTCATCCTTGCCTCTAAGGATCATTCTGGTTGGGTTTTTTCCAGGGCAGATTTTTTTCCCCTGTTCGTTTTCCATGGTACTTTTAATATTCTTCAATAGTACCATAATTCAAATACATTGATTCTTCTTTGGTCTGCCTATTCAGTGTCCAACTTTCACATGCATATGAGGCAAATACCATGGCATGAGTTCAGCACACCTTGGTCCTCAAAGTAACATCCTTGATTTTCAGCACTTAAAGAAATCTTGTGCAGCAGATCTACCCCATGCAATGCATCATTTGATCTCTTGACTGCTGTGTCCATGAGAATTGATTATGGATCCAAGCAGCAAAAAATCCTTGACAACTTCAGCATTTTCTCCTTTAGCATGGTTTTCTCCTTTACCACGCTGTCTGGTACAGTTGTCAGGATTTTGGTCTTCTTTACATTGAGTTGTAATCCATACTGAAGGCTGCCATCCTTGTTCTCCATCAGCAAGTATTTTAAATCCTCAATTTCAGCAAGCAAATTGTGTCATCTGCATATTTCAGATTGTTAACAAGCCTTTCTCTGATCATGATTAGCATTATTCTTCATATAACCTAACTGCAATCATTATTTGCTTAACATACATATTGATAAGCATGTTGAGAGGATACAACCTTGAAGCAAATCTTTCTTGATTTTAAACCATGCTGTAGACTCTTTTTCTGTTCACACAACTGCCTCTTGATCCAAGTACAGGTTCTGAATGAGCATAATCAGGTGCTCTGGAATTCTCATTCTACTTGAGGCTATAGTGTGTTATGGTCCAAAATCTGAATGCTTTAGCATAATAAATAAATCACTAGTAAACACCTTTCTGGCATTCTCTGCTTTCAGCCAAGTTGTATATAACATCAGCAGCGACACACCTTGTTCCATGTTCTCTTTTGAATCTGATCTGAACCTCTAGGAGCTCACATCAATGTGCTGCTGCAACCATTGCTTTTACTTGATTGTGATATTAATGATATTGTTTTATAATATGGGAATTCTGTTGGGCCAACTTTTTTTGGAATGACTACAAATAAGAACCTCCCCCCGCCCCCAACCCCTCACTACCATGCCCCCAATTCTGTCTTACCAATCTGGCTAGACCAGAACATGTATACTGGTACAGATAAGAGCTCAAAACATATGGAATCCATAACAGATAAACCCCTCAGGACCAATAAGAGGAGCAGTGATGCGAGGAGGGTAAGGGTAGGAGGTGGGGGAGTGGAATCGCAATGATTGAGTATGGCCCCCATCTCAGGGGGACAGACAGCAGAAAAGTGGGTGAAATGAGACAGCATTCAGGCTAAGACATGAACAAAATAATAATTTATAAATTATCAAGGGACCATGTGGAAGGGAGGAAAGTGGGGGAGGGAGGAGGGAAAATGAGCAACTGATGTCAGGTGCTCAAGTAGAAAGAAAATGTTTTGAAAAAGATGGTGACAACATCTGTACAGATGTGTTTGACAAAATGGATATATGCAAGGAGTGTGAGCTGTAAAAGCCTCCAATAAAATAAAATGAAAACAAAAAAAATCTAGGTTGAATAAAAGAAACCAAAAATAAGGAGAGAGAGAAAAAAAAAAAATCTCTTCCAGTCAGTTGGCCAGGCAGCTGTGCTACAAATTTCCTGGCATAGATGAGTGAGTGCTTCCAGTGCTTCAGCAGCTTGTTGAAGCATTTCAATCGGTATTCCATCAATTCCTGAAGCTTTGTTTTTAGGCTAATGCTTTCAGTGCAGCCTGAACTTCTTCCTTCAGTACCATTGGTTCTTGATCATATGCTACCCCCTGCGATGGTTGAATGTCAATTAGTTCTTTTTGGTGCAGTGATTCTGTGTAGTCTTTCCATCTTATTTGGGTGCTTCCTGCATCCTTCTCTATTTTGCGCATGTAATCTTTCAATATTGCAACTTGAGGTTTGATTTTTTTTTTTTTTTAGTTCTCTCAGTTTCAGATATACTGAGCATGTTCTTCCGTTTTGGTTTTCTAACTCTAGGTCTTTGCATATTTCATTATAATATTTGACTTTATCTTCTGTAGCTTCCCTATAGACTTTTCTGTTCAGCTCTTTGACTACATCATTTCTTCCATGTGCTTCAGCTGCTCTGTGATTAAAAGCAAGCTTCAGAGTTTCTTCCGGCATCCACTTTGATCTTTTCTTTCTTTCCTGTCTTTTCAGTGACCGTTTGCTTTCTTCTTGTGTGATGTCCTTGATGTCTTCCCACAGCTCATCAGGTCTGCTGTCGACTTCCAACGCGTGAAATCTGTTCTTGAGATGTTCTCCAAAAAATAAAGGTTGTATTTTCCAAGTCATAGCAACCATATGTAGGATTTCCCACACTGTAAATCTTTATGGGAGTATATAGCCTCATCTTCCTACTTCTGAGCAGCTGGTGGATTTGAGCCACCACATTGTGGTTAATAATCCCAAGTGTATCTGTCTGGGCATCTTGGTCTCACTCCCCCTACCCCTCCCAATCTAAGAACAGTCTACTGTATCAACATATATCATAATAATTTCTTCCTTTTTTCTAAAATCAGTTTTATTGAACTGTCATTTCTTCTTACCTAGTCATATTACTAGGTGACACACATATAGGCGCTCCTTCTTCATCCAGCAAAACTATCATTAACAACTGATTGGAAATAAATTTTCCAGCATAACCACGGGATCCCAAAATTAAGATCTTCTGGAGTAACTGTAGTACAAAATCAATCCCCAAACCAAACTCACTGCCATTGAGTGAAGCCAAATGACAGTGACCCTATAGGACCGGGTAAAAATGCTCCTGTGTATTTTCAAGACTGTAGCTCTTTACAGGGGTAGAAAGCCCTCTCTTTCTCCTGAGGCGGGGCTGGTGGTTTTGCACTTGTAATGAGAGCCCAACTTGTAACCACTACAGCACCAGTGCAGTACAGTTAAGCAGAGTTACTGTAGTACAGTTAAGTAGAAAATAGATTCAAAGTAAGAATGGTGTAAATTAAATGAAGTTGTTAAAGGAACGATGCAAAGGAAAACATTCATGAATTAGCAGTTAGCATGGGCTTTATGAAATAAGGAATATAATGTTAAATGATATGAAAAATCAGTTTTAATTTAATTTTTATTGAAGCACAAGCTCATGCACATACAATAATCTGATTGTTTATGTATATATGAGTTGCTCATACATATATCAAAAATCCATAAAATTTTGAAACAGAATAAA